CAGGCTGGGCGCGCGGCCCCAGCCATGGGCGGCCGCCGCCGGCGCGCGCACCCCCTCCCGCTTCAGCCTCCGCCCAGTGCTCCTCCCGCCGCCACCTCCTCTCCCTCCGCCCTCCTGTCCTTCGTTCACTTCTTCCCTCAGCAAGCGCTCTCTGACCCTGCGCTAGGCCGACGCGCGTGCTGGATGCTGCAGACGCAAGGATGAGCCAGGCGAGGGCTTGTCCCCGGAGATCGCACGCCGGCCGGAGGAAGCAGCATCTGCTTCCTGGAGGAGGTGACAGGCCAATCGGAGACTGAGGGTTGTGTAGGCGTGAGTCTGGCAGAAGGGGAGATGATGTTTCGGGGCGTACAGGCCTCTGCAGTGTGTAGGGAGACGGCTGGGGTACCAAACGTGTGATCAGACAGAAGCGGGGGGGGCGGTGGTGGTCAGTGCAGGACTTCGGCACCCCTCATCAGCTTCGGGCCGGATATTATTACACATCCATGTAGCTGGTTTCTCTGTCTCTGTGCATCTGTGCATGTCACACAGGCAGACAGTGAGGCAGATGACTTTAGCCTGGGCGTAGACTTTGTTCATTCATTCTCATTCAGCACTCTCCACGGGGCCAGACTGAGGCGTAGACTATCTGAGGGACCTGCAGGTAAGGGCAGGAGCAGTGGGGGTCCACAGAAGGGATGTGCCATCCCTGCTACTAGGGAGCTCACAACCAAGGCCTCTCGGCCCCCCAATGGCCTCTGTGGGAATGAGAAGGCGCCCCCTCTGGAGGGTCGCAGCTCCACCTCACCCACGCCAGAGTGCAGGGTGCAGAACCTTAGATTCAACCACCTGCCCCGTGTGCGGGTCCTGAACGCGCACAACCTGCATCTGAGAATGATGTGTGAGGGCATTGGTCGCTAAAAAGGCAGAGGGGTGGGAGAAGGAGCTTCCGGAGCTGTTAGCCCAGGCCTGGAAACCACCTTGTGTCATTAGCAGCCTCCTGAGCCCTATTACTTCTCCCAAAGGGTAGCCTGTGGCAAAGGAGAGAAGCACAGGGCCCTAGGTGTGTCTGGTCAGACAACCCAGCAGGGTGCTCTCCCATTATCCCTTCTATCCCTTGTTTGTTCAGTTGTTCAACAAGCATGTGCCAATCCTGTGCTGGGCCTAGGGGCAACAAAGATGCATCAGAGATGATGCTAGCCCAGGGAGGTTCCTGACTTGTGGGGAGACAGACACATCACGAGACAGGCTTGTCTGTTTCTACCCTGTATTCCTAGGTCTAGAACAGTGCCTGGTGCGTAGTAGGTGCTCTATAAATTTAACTGAATGCATGCCTTCATTTAACTGTCTGGTACCAGGACCCAGGTGCACTTGGAGTCAGGTTTGAGAGTTTTCTTTGGAAATCCAGGGGTGGGCAAGGCCCGTATGTTTGAGTCAGCCTAGGATGAAGAGAGGACAGGAAGTCACCTGGGCAGCAGAAGCTGTGCCAGGACTTCAATATGCACCTGATGCCTTATGTGTTCCAAGGACTGAGCTTCCTTCCCATTGCCCCTCACCAGAATTAATCAATTTATATGCCAGAAAAATTCCCAGTTCTCCCATTTGGGTTCAAATACTGGCCCTGCTCAAACCCGACTCCAAGTGCAATGAATTCCCCCCGAGAAAGAGATAGACGACATTCTATCTGCTGTCAGCATGATATGCTGCCCCTCCAAAGCCTCCGTATTCTGCCTCTAGGGCCACCAGAGACCCAGCAACTGTGGCCAGCAGTCCACCGCCTGCACACAGATCTCCTTCATCTTGCTTCCAAAGCTGGAGTGTCCCACCTTTGCCAGGCTGTACTGTCTGCCTAAGCAAGCCCTGGTGGCACAGTAGTTAAAGCACTCGGCTGCTAACCAAAAGGTCGGTGATTCGAACCCACCAGCCGTTCCGTGGGAGAAAGATGTGGCAGTCTGCTTCCGTAAAGCTTTATAGCCTTGGAAACCCTATGGGGCAGTTCTGCTTTGTCCTATAGGGTTACTATGAGTCAGAATTGACTCAGTGGCAGTGAGTTTGGTTTTTGGACTCTCTGCCTAGAACACTCTTGCACTGGCTGGCTTCTGTTCATCCTTTGGGCCTCAGCTCAAACACCTCCTCCTCTAGAAAGCCCTCCAGCCTCCTCCCCAGAGGTCCTCCCAGCTCCTGTGGGCACCCAGTGTTACGTGTCTTAATCTCTCTCAACACACTGAGCTGTCATTGGATCCCCCATTCAGTGGGGAGCTCCTCAAGCCAGAGCCTGGGTCACCAGGGCAGGGCAGGTGGTCCCTGGAGTGTACCTAGTGCCCCCACAGAGGGCTCCATTCCATCTGCACCCATTTCCCCCAGTCTGCTCTGTCTGAGCAGAGACTGAACAAGACTCCATCCCTGCCCTTGAGGATCTCTGGTCTGGCAGCAGCAGAATAGACAGTGACAACACAGGGTAATAAAAGCCCCAGAGAGGGGATATCTTAGTTATCTAGTGCTGCTGTAACAGAAATACTATACGTGGATGGCTTTAACAAACAAAGATTTAATTCTCTCACATTCTAGGAAGCTAGAAGTCCAAATTCAGGGCGCCAGCTCCAGGAGAAGCTCCTTGTCATCAATCTTCCGCTGGTCTAGGAGCTTCTCAGTGCAGGGATCCCAGGTCCAAAGAACACGCTCTGCTCCCGGGGCTTCTTTCTTGGTAGCACAAGGTCCCGCTCCTCTCTACTCACTTCTCTCTTTTATTTCTCAAAAGAGATTGACTCAGGCTAAACAACCTAATCCTGTAGATTGAGTCTTGCCTCATTAACATAACTGCCTCTAATCCTGCCTCATTAACATCATAGAGTTTAGGATTTAGAACATGTAGGAAAATCACATCAGATCACAAAATGGTGGACAACCACACAATAATGGGAATCATGGCCTAGCCAAGTTGGCACACATTTCTGGGGGACACAATTCAATCCATAACAGGGGGCTGCTCAGGGGCATCAGATCCCCATCCCCAGGCATCCAAGGCTGTGTCACCTGCCCACCCAGGGTTAGAAACCAGCAGCTCCAAGCCAATCATCTCTGAGCTGCAAGGGCAGGAGAGCTCTCCCACTGTCCACTCCCTTCATTTTACAGAAGTGTAGCCCAACCCTTCATGCTGCACTGGGAGCCTATTGCCAATTTCTCTTTGTCACTGTCTCTGAATTTGTGTCTCTTTCTCTCTCTGGACTGAGCAGATTTTCTTAATTCCTGCAAAAGAGGGATTCTAATTCATTACATGTACTTTATAAAGATTCAGACCACTTAGATTTAAATTACTTGCTAGCTTTGTGACCTGGGGCAAGTTACTTGAACTCTCTGTGCCTCAGTTTTCTCATCTATAAAATGGGGACAACAGTAGTACTCAATAGTATTAGTTATTTACTGCTATATAGTAAATTACATCTAAAACTTAGCAGCTTAAAACAACAATAAACATTTATTGTCCCTCACAGTTTCTGTGGGTCAGGAATTTGGGAGCAGCTTAGTTGGGTGATTCTAGCTCAGGGTCTGTCATGAGGTTGCAGTCATCTGAAGGTTTAACTGGGACTTGAGGTTCTGGGTTGGCTTCCTCACATAACTGGTAAGTTCATGCTGGCTGTCAGCAGGAGGACTCAGTTTTTCACTCCATGGATCTCTCTGTAGAACTGTTGAGTGTCCTTATGACATGGCAGCTGCCTTCCCCCAGAGCGACTTACCCGAGAGTGAGCAAGAGAAAGCAAGGAGAAAGTCACATCATTTCTGCCAAATCCTATTGATCACAAGGGTCAGATCTACTCCATGTGGGAGGGGACAATACAGGAGTGTGACTACCAGGCAGCAAAAATCACTGGGGGCAGTCTTGGAGGCTGGCTGCCTATCTTGTAAGTTATAGAAGTTAATGTCTGTAAAGTGCTTAGAAGAGTGTCTGGCACATAGTACCCACATTATATAGGTGTTTACTATTGGTGTTGTTTCTGGTACATGGTGTGTAAGTACTCCCTAAGGATTATCTACAGTTATCATTAACATTATTGTTATTTGCTGCAGAATGCCTTCATTTGACAGGGGAAGACAGGAACTGAGAGGATGAAGGCATTTCAGGGTTACAGAGCAACCAGAGGCAGAGCAGGACACAGCCTGGGTTTCCTGCTTCCTGGCTGTGT